CCGCGACAGGCAGAGCGATGCCGTCGAGCAGACAGCAAAGGAGATGGGGTCGCAGCTGGCTGCCGAGACGGGGTCGCAGCTGCTTGCCGCCTCGCCAGCCGTAGCAGAAACCTGGATACAGCTTGTCCCGCTTGTGGATATTCCTGGTGCAGGTGCTGGCAGCAAGCTCTCACTCCAGGACACGAGCTTAGCCCGATAAACTCCGAGGACTTCGACCGTCTGTGGGAGGGCTTCGAGCAGCAAGAAGTGGAAGACATCTTCACGGCCAATGAAGCGGAGCCGTGCGCAGCACGCAGCAGCAGCGCTGGGCCCAAGCAGGACGAAGTCCAGCCAAAGCAGGGCGAAGCCCGGCCGACGGCAGACGAGAAGGTGGGCAAAGGCAGTCGGCGGGCTAACCCCAAGCCGCGGAATAAGACGCGAGGGAAGAAGTCGGCTGAGCCGGCCCCGCCGGCAGGCCCGCAGCGGCCAGAGGACCAGCCAGCGCAGCTTGGAAGGCGAAAGAAGCCAAAGGATTTGACAAGACAAGAATTTGCGGACAAGCTGGGCAGCGTCTTCCAGGATGCAACCCGCGACAGCGCGGCGCAGATCTTGAAGCTGTCTGTCTTCCAAGAGCTGCACCCGGCTGTTCCGGACCTTGCGCGAGAAGCATGGAATTTTTATCCACTTGGAAGACGGCCACAGGACCTACTGGGGCATTGTGGCGTACTTGGCGGTGCCGTCCGAGAGCAAGCCGGACGTCGACCAGCCCGTGGCTTAGCAAGGGCCATCCGCCCGTGGTGGAGCTGCTCAGCGACATTCCCAAAGGAGCGGTGAACTCCGTGAAAGAGAGAGTTCGCAAGTGGCTGGCAGAGGTGCACGGCATCAAGCTGGGCAGGGTGCAGCCCCTGTCCCACGGGCAATTCGTCGACTACATCGTGGCCAACAAGATTTCGGACAAGTCCATCCTACACTCGCACCTGGAGCAGCGCACCTCGGACAAAATAGAGCCGGTGCGCGAATTCTTTTTCAGGACTGAAGATGTCGCCCTGGGAATTGGTGCGCGCCGCGGCGCGTGCGTCTGTGACGGCTTGTGGATACCGCTGACGCAAGACAATCTGCGGGTGCAGTGCGAGAACTTCCCCCCGCAGATGTCGCAAGAAGAAAAGCCGGAGGAGGCCAGGCTGATAGCGGCGATAACTAGGACGCTGCAGGTCGGCGCCGAGAAGTTCAACAATTTGTTCTTCTACGGGCCACGCAACGCGGGTAAATCCTGCGCGATCGACCCGGTGACGTACATCTTCGGAGCCAAGCTCACATACACCAGGCCTGCAGGAAAATGCAACTTTCCGTTGCAGGGGATTGTGAGCAAAAAAGTAGCTGTGCTACAAGATCTGCGACCACAAAGCATGCGGATCGGGTGGGACAGCCTGCTCGTTCTGTTGGAGGGGCAACACGTCGCCGTGCCCATGCCTCGAAACGTGAACTCCGAGGATGCGACGTGGTCTGCAAAGGGGGCTAGGTTCAATCTGGTTTGTGGAAGGGGTCAGATTGGTTTGTGGGGTTCAAAATGGTTTGTGGCCGTTCAAATTGGTTGGTGCGAGGGTTCGGATTGGTTTGTGAGGGTTCGGATTGGTTTGTGGGGGTTCAGATTGGTTTGTCGGGTCTTGTGGCAGGTTTTGCCCCAGAACCGCTCGAGACAAATCCATTCCATGCAGCCAACGTTCAGAACTTGCAAGCGCTCCATTTTTTTTGCGAGCGCCAACAAATCCACGCCGCGCTTGGGCGTGGTTAGAGACCAGTCTTGCTCGGCGCATCAAAGCACCCCACCTCCGAACAGCGGAGGCACTCCAGACACACATGCACCCGCGCAGAGATTCCAAGCATAAAAAAACCGCACACTAGCCCGCCTCATGAAACAAAAGTGCGTACCAGCAAATCGTGAAGCCAAGCAGCCAAGCTTCCTTGCGGCAGCTCCACAAGCTTGGCATTGTTGCAGCTTGGCCTTAGGCGCCAAACGAAGAGCCTCCCACTCTCAAAAACATTCCCGCACGGGCGGCACAGGAATGAGAGCCTGCTTGGAGCCCTGCCAAAAACTGACGATGAAAACGAAACAGGCGTCGCCTCAAGCGCGTTCCATGACTGCAGTCTCAAAAGGCAGCGCTCTTAGGCCCCAACGGCGTGGCCCTCATGTTCTGCGCCTCTTGCGCTCCTCCTGCTGCGCGCTGGCTTTCGCCTCAGCACAGCCAGCAATGCGTATTCTTGCAAGGTCCTTTGCCTTCTCTAGGAGCCCGGCCTTGCTCGTCTTCTTCTTCTTCTGCGGAAGGCTTGCGAAGTCTATGCTGCGAGCTCTGGCGGGCCAAGTCATGGCCTGCGCGCAAAGGCAGTGCTCGCAGTCCGCGTAAAGGCTAAAGGAGCGGCAGCTTGCAGTCAGCCTCCCTTGCGCGGGCACCCAAACATAACACGCCTGCCCAAAAGTTCGGCGGTACCCTGCAAGGCTGAAGACAAGATCACTGCCATCAGGCTGCAACACACCTGCGTGGCGCAGGCTCTCGCGCCGAGCTTCATCTGAGGCAGCCGTGAGAACACGCAACCCATGTATAGCGGCAGCTGCGTCCAGCGAGGCGGTCTCCGACAAGCTCTGCGCAAATGCCGCCAGATGCTCGCCGTCTGACCAGCGCAAGTGGTATTGCACGGGCACGCCTGCGGTGCGGGCAGCAAACAATTCCTTGGCAGTGCTGCGGCCAGCACGGGCTAACGTTTCACCCGCAAGCATGGACGGGTCTGTTTTTTCAGGCAGGCAAGACAAAGCGCTATCGCTCTCCCAGCAATACAAACGGCGCCACGTTCGGTACAACTTCTGCAGCACAGTTAAGCTAGTGACAACGTTGCCTTTGCCCCCCAACGCTTCCAGTTGGCGCTGCCAAGCTGCGTGCACTGCCTCTGCGGGCTCGTTCCCACTGCCTGTGCCAGGATGCACTCCAAAAGCGCCCACCCAAAATGAAGCTGTGCCGTCGGCGCATGTGTAGTGCTGACGCAGCCACGCGGCCACTGCTTCTTCCTTGAGTGCGCGGAGTCGAAGCAAGAAAGCCGCCCAGAGTTCTATCATCAGCGCTTTTGTGGGCGTCAACCGCAAATGCTCCAAGCAAGACATAACCCAAGAAGCGTTCAGTTTCTCAAACTTGCCATTGACGTGTTTCACTTGCTTGCAACGCGCTGCAATCTCTGCGCGCTTCCGTTTTAAGTGAAACCAGTCGTTGCACGGCCGGCTTTGCGGGAAAGCCACACGCCTGGCTGCCTCGATCCCCGGCGCAAAGTCTTTGTGCAACTGGCGCACACACTGTTGCAAAGGAGGCCTTTCTGGGCAGCACTCCTTCCATAAAGCTTCAGCGGCTTCGAACAGACTTGCGTAGTTCTGCTCTGACTCTTGGTGCATGGGCCACCATGCAAGAACGGCATTGCGTGCGTAGTGTGCGCTCGCCCTTGCACGCGGCCTGTCTCCTGATGGCACAAGTTCGTGTTTCGCAAGCCATCTTTGACCAGGAGACTCAGCGTGGCAACACCCATGCCGCCAGTCAGCACTTTCATCTTGGCGTCCACTGCCAAGTGCATCGCCCACATAGCGACGCAGCGTGGCCAACATGCCACGACATGTGTAGGCGACAAAGACACGCTGCTCTGACACGTGCACAAAGCCCTCAAGCAAGTAAAGCGCGTCAACAGTTTCACCGCTTCGAGGCCAATCGGACAACGCTGCCACAGTTGGCGCCACGGTCACGCCTGCGTCTGACTGACGCTGCTGCTGGCTAACGGGTGTTCTTTTTTGATTTTTCATCCACGCACTGAACTGCTCCAGCGTGGGCAAGTCCGCAGACTTCAAACCCTTGGACAAGAGATGGTCCCGCAAGCTCTGCGCGTTGCGGCTGCCTTTGGGCGTGAGTTCCAAGTATTGTTGGGCCGCCTGCTGCTGCTTGGGAGTGAACAACTTCCCCAAAAGTTGTGATTAGCAGCGTGCCAGCTGCGTGACCCAGATTTTGCAAAAAGTACGTGCTTCTCCAGCGTTTCGGGCAGTCCGGACTCTCGCGGCAAGAAATGTTATGCACAATGCGCACTGCGTTTTTCCAGGCAATGTTTTTCCGGCACAGTGCGGGCAAGAGCGTGCGACCAGCAGTGTTCCATCAAATGGTTGAGCAACAGGCTGGTTCCGAACCAGTACATGGTCTTTGGCATGGCCTGCCGGAACACTTTGCGCGCAGACTCCCTCCCTTCAAACAGAGCGCGAATTTGCCCTAAGTTGTCAACCTCTTCCTCCTGCTGCGCTGTGAGCTCAAAATTTTCCGGCGGTGCCGGTGTGTGCGGGCCCACACGGTGCAAAACAATAGTGAAGAGCTGCTCGAGAATTGGCAAGGTCACGCTCTGAAAGAAAGCGTTCCACTTGGTACATGCTGTGCACTGGCGCACTCCAAAAGACAAGAGGAAGCGTTGCGCCAACCCTATCTGCTTTGCGTGGGCCAGCTGCGCCCAAAACTTGGCAAACACATCCTCTTGACCGATCAAAACAAAGTGGACGTTAGTGTGCGCCAACGTCAAGCTTACTGCCTCGGGCACAGCCTCGCTTGGACATGGTGGGGCTGCTGCGGCCTTTAGAGCACGCTCACGGTCTGGACGGTTGCTCCAAGAAAAGAGACCGCCGTGCGCAGCGTTGAGAAACAAGGGCAAGTCCACGTGCTTCGCAGCGTCAGTACAGCCACCGGTTGCCAGCGCTGGCGATAAGCACAGCCCACTTTCGTCGCTGAACATCGTCAAGTAGCCGTTGCACTGCCGCAGCTTTAGCACAGCAGACGCAGTGGTGCTGGCCTGTTGGAAATGGAAGTTATCGTTCGCAGCTCCAACGGCAAACGAAGGGTTGCGGCGCAAGACGCGCTCCATCGCGTCAAACAACGGCTGCATGGCGGGCGACTTTCCCTGGCCTATGTCGGCCGTGGCGGCTGTCCAATATCTGTTGCGAGTGTTCCAGCGGGCGTTCAGCCGCACGCGCAACTCCTTGTGCAAGATGCGTACACAACATCTACATAGAAGACTGCAGGCATGTCGGTCGTCCACGAACTTGCTTGTAACAGGACTAGCAACGGGTACAGGGCCGTGTCTCCTAAATACGGCTGCACGTGCATGGCGGTTGCCCCATTGACAGTATCTTCGCACAAGTCTGCGAACTCCGCGTGCCATGCGTCTGCTGCTGCCGACAGAGACCGCGCTTCGTGCCGGAACAAGGGCAAGTTGGACAGGAAACTCCGACAACAGCGCCCGCTTTCAAAAGTCTCCAACAGCGCGCGGGCATCTCGCTCCAAAGCATCCTGGCCTTCTCCAACTGGCATGTGCTCCAGCTCTTCCATGTCCACCTCACACTCATTGGCGCTGGCCTTTCCGCCAACATGGCTGTCTTCAACTCGCGCACGCTCCGACCCATGTTCGCTGGCGGCACTGGACGCAGCTGGGTACATGGTTGCATCTGCTTCTGTCCCAACAGCGGGCTCGCCCAAACCATCCTCCGCCTTCACTGCTGCTGAAAGCAATCTAGCATCTGCAAGACCAGCGTGCGGCCACTGGCTGCTTGTGCTCGGCAGGGGTGCCCTGTCAGGCTGCTCTGTCTTCACAGTCTCACACGTTCTCTCATACACGATGAGGCGACAGGCTCTCTGCATCTCCAGTTGCGGTTGACGCTTCGCGTCTGCCACACCATCATCATAGCATATCCAGCTACTGCCAGCGCCTCGCACAAATGCCACATAGTGCCCACTATCTGCAGAAGCTCCACTTCGGCACACAACTGCACGCAGCTCATACTCTGTGTTCGCTTCATCTGGCCACATTCGGTCTGGCAGGGTGACTTTGTCTGCCCGCACAGGCTTTCTGCCATGTTCCCGGACCACGTTGAACACCAAAACATCCTCACAACCATAAGTCGTTTGCTCTCTCTGTGTAATGTCCTGCAAGCACAGCGGACAACGCTGCCCTGAAGCACGTGCGCTCAACGTGTTGTCGCGCAGCAAGTCATTTAGGGACTGCTCGGCAGTGCTGCTTGCATCTGGCAAATACAAGTTGATGCACGTCTCTGCTGCTGTGATGCGGCTGGTCTCAACTAAGTTGGCTCCATAACACGAGCACTGTGGCACCAGCGCTTTCACCTCCGTTCGCTGCACACCGGCCACTTGCAACCACTTGGGGCCAAGCAGCCCTACAAGCTGCGCCACAAACTCTGCCGGGTCTTGCTGCGGCCCCAATAAGCAGCACGCCCGCAGCGGCTTAGCCCAGTCTTGGCAAAGCACCACCTCGGCACCTGCTGAGCGGCTTTCTGCCTCTGTTTTCCGCAACAAGCACATGCCGCAGGCTGCGGCGCCACACCCCACGTGACTGGAAACAGCTTGCCGGACCCTGCCAGCGGCAAACAACGACTGCAGCGTCGCGGCTAGCCAGCACGAGTTCCACTGATTCGGGAAAGTGCCCCTTGTCTGGTCGCGGCGCGCCGTGTTTCCGTTCAGAGCGCGCGCGCGCTTGTTGCGCGCGCCGCTGCTTGGCCACCACGCCCGTCCTTGGCACAGACTCTTGCGCGCCGCAACTATAAATAGTTTCTCAGCCTCGGGCCATACAGGGGCACCACGTACGACAACGAGAACTCGTCATCACCATTCTCAGCCTCACTCCGGCCTGCGCCCGTCGCCGCTGGGCTGACGGGCTTCGCCGCGTGCCCCCGCACCTCCTGCACGGCTGCGCGCAAAACGCTTGTTTACCTTGCTGCTGTGCGCTGTCCTGGCGCGCTTGCTCCACACCAAGCAGCATCGCCGCAACGGCCTCGCGCGAGCGCAGCTTGCTGCTGAACTCCATGCCAACATAGCAACCTCGCGCCTGCTTCCGGCTGCGGCGCACACGCTGCCGCAAGGCCGTTGCCAACGACTTGCCTCAGCGTGGCAGCGGCTTGCCAACGCACGACACATTTCCAAGGCTGTGACACCAGGAAGTGTTCAGATGAAGCCCAGCCTACAAGCAACGCCAAACACCCTGTTCCCGGCAGTTTGCGCGCGGCGCCTCCGCAGAGCACGCAGCGGTCGCCGCAACGCAGGCGTCAACCTCCGCTTCTTCCGCCTGGGCAAAAATCCAACATGTTCTACAAGGCTGCGCTTGGCTCGCCTCGGTCCAGACCAGTTCAGGAGTGTCCTGGCAGACACGTGGCTTCTTCGTGCGCCGCCGTGTCACCTCCAGCAAACAGTGCGTCTACGACAGACTGCGCGCGCAGCTGAGCGCGCCGCGCCGCAATGTTTTGCCGTTCGGCTCAGCTTCGCCTGACGCAAAACTCTGCCCGCTGCACAAGTCACAGCGCGTGCCTGCGGAGCTGTGCGCGCACTGCCCCAGTCCTGTGAGAACTACTCCCCTCGTCCCGGAAACAAACCTATTTTGCAGCTCAAGCCCGCCTTGTCCACGCAGACCCACCCAACCTTCAAAAGAATGTCTTTGCCGTTGAGAGTGAGAACACTGGGGCTGCAGCTGGCGTTGCAACTGTCAGTCTGCAGTACTGCTCCACGTAGTCCTGGCAAAACAACAGGCCGGCCACGCATTGTCCCACCTGCGCTACGCCTTCATACTCCAACAGAGGCAAGTGTCTGCGGCGCTCTCGTCGTCGCCCATGTCCGCCCAGCACACCATGCCTACAGTCCCAGCACACCATGCCTACAATCCACAGGCAACTCCGCTCCCTTCCCCTTATCTCCCGCCTCGCGGTGAGCGTGACAGAGTTCAAAGATTGCCGGCTGCGGTATCTCTTGGCTGCGCGCGAGAGACAAACATGGCATCACACCACTGCCCTGACAAAAACCGACCCGAGACAATCAACAAACACTTGTGGTCTTCCAAAAAACGCAGCGCATGCAACCTTTACAGTCTTTCTTGGGGCAAGCGAAAGAATGCAAGACAGGTGTGGCAAACGAAGTAAAAGCAAACGTCTGCGCTGTAGAATCCTCTGCTGTTTTCAGCAACCGACAAACCCAAACTAGCGAACTCGCTTGGTCAAAACCGCACCAAAGCAAGAACGCGGCGGTTGGCTTGCGATCTTTCACGTCGCTTGCGTTGGCAAGCAAGGCCGCTGAGCAAACGGTTTTTGGCACAACACAAAAAATCCAGCGAATGGCTTCCTGCAAGAACGGAACAAAAACGCGCAATTGCAAAACCACAACACCCGCTCAACAACTTCTAGAATCTTTGGTTTTTCTTTTCGCGCCAGACACACCGCGCCAGCGGCTCTAGAAACCCTTCACAAACAACTCTTACCAACGCAAATCCAAGAAGCTCACTTCTTACGCGTTTGTCTTTCTTCAACCACTGCTACCTTTTCTTCGCGTTGTCCAGACCACGCACGGTCTTTTTTTCCTCAACAGCACAAACCAATCTGACCCCCCAACATGCGTCGCCAAGCACAAACCAAAGCGATCCCCTTCACAAACCAAGCCGACTCCCCCTCGTCAATCTGAACCAATCTAACCCCTTGCACAAACCAATCCAAACTTCACAAACCAATCCGAACCGCAACAAACCATTTTGAACCCCACAAACCAATCCGACCGCTTCCACAAACCAAAGTGAAACGCAGCCCCTGCAAAGGGCATGCCTTTCTTCATCAGCGGATCTGACAAGCTGCGGATCCACGGAGGACGCACACCACGAAGGTGTGGACGTCGCAGCTGCTTCAGCCGCTGGCTGCAAGGTCTGCCGGCGCCACCTCTCACTCCCCCGGCGAGCGGCTCATCCGGGGCCCGATCCAGCCGCCACCATAGCAGCCCCAGCCGAAGCTCCAGCGGCGGCAGCGACAGCCAGGGCGAAGCCCGGGCCAGCGGCGAGCAGCAGCCCGCGCAGAGAGGAGATCACCCCCCTGCCGGCCCCCGACGAGCAGGCCATCGTTGAGGACTGCAGGAAGAAGCCGAGGCCGAGGTCGACGCCCAGCTGCACGACTGCCGGGACACGGAGGCGGTCTAGTTCTCTGTCGGTGTAGGATGTTTTAGGGGTAAGCGGACCTTCAAAACGAAGTGCCCGCAATTATGGAGCTTGGGGGAGCAAGCTCGTCAAGAGCCGCAAATGTGTAGCAAGAAAAACAGACTCGCCAAAGGCAGCAGGTGTCTGCGCATCGAGTTTGTGTGGGGAGAGGCTTCGTGATCGCAGCTTGTGGATACCGCGAGACAGGACAGATAATAGATATTCATGTTTCTGCTGTAGATTCACTGAAGTTAGCACAGGCTCAAACCCCGCAGAAGTCACTGCACCCGCTCAATGCTGATCGGATTTCCACGCTTGTTGCTTTGCAGCTAGGAAAGGAAAATTGCAGTTCCAGGATCCTTGGCATAGCGCGCTTTGCAGCGGTATTGCACTTGCGGCACGTCATCTTGTGCTGAGTGATTTTGGAACTCGGCTATACGCGTAGCTTCTGCTCTGCAAAGAGTCGCTTGCACCCTTGCGCATCTCACCTCCACAAAATCATCTGCAAGCTCGTCAATCACATCCCATCCGTCTGTCGACTCAAAGTCAATGCTGCTAACAGCCAAGATCTTCCAGCATCCATTGCGGAGCATGTGGCCCGCTTGGCTGCAATCTTTGTTGCGGACTGCCTCTGACAGCCGCTGCTTCAATACCTTTTGTGTGACAGAGACAAGGCAGATACCTACAGACTTATCCGCGGGCACTTGTCAGCCCAGGGCTGGATAGAAACGAGCACCATCCCGTGGTTCCTTATCGTTATCAGTCCTCGCAGCATTCATCGATCCTTTGCGGTTGTAGCCTGGCATGCCAAGCGTCAGCACCGCATCCCATCTGAGGACGCTAGAGCGTCTGGCTCGAAGACCCATAGAGTGCTTGATAGTTTGACAAGTCCCTAAGTGACCAGTCTGCCGAGCAAACTCGTCCACTGCAGATGTGTAGCAATAGACTCGCCAAAGGCGGCAGCTGTCTGTGCATCGAGTTTGTCTGGGGGGGAGGCTTCGTGATCGCAGCGCCGCGCGTCGATGGGGGCATGGGAAGTGCGGCTAGTGAGAGCATGTCGAACGGCTGGCAGCCCCACTGCGTGGCGGCCGAAGAAGACACAACGGGCTGGAGCCCGGCGATGTGGGAAAACTTTTACGAGCACTGCCGCGAGTTGGAGCACGACATCCTGGCGGGCAAGCACGGCGACCTGCTGCTGCTGGGCGGCCGCATTTTGCCCGTCCTGAAGCCCGGCAAGCGGAAGCCCAGCCCTGGCAGAAAAGCTGCGGGCAGCTCTCTCTCTCAAGAGGGGGTTTTCCAAATGGCTTATATTCTACCTGAGAGGCTTCTAGCACTCGTCCGTCCAGCATTTGACCTCGTCCTGCGAAGGATTCGAAGTCTAAAACGCTGCGTGCAGGCGTGGGCTGCAAAATAGAGACCCCTAGATATGCGCTGCAATTTGGCTCCAGGTTGCATTTCAAGCGATGTCAAGCTTTGCCAAAGGAAACCCCTTTTCCCTTTTTTTCGGGGACCCCTTTTTTTTGGACCCCTTGTTTTCTTTTTTTTTGTTTTTCCTTAGCCCTGCAAAGGTTGGCTCCTTGAAATGCAACCTGGAGCCAAATTGCAAGCATATCTAGGGGTCTCTATTTTGCAGCCACACGCCTGCACGCAGCGTTTTAGACTTCGAATCCTTCGCAGGACGAGGTCAAATGCTGGACGGACGAGTGCTAGAAGCCTCTCAGGTAGAATATAAGCCATTTGGAAAACCCCCTCTAAAGAGAGAGATGGCTGACTCTTGTTGCCGCAATATTGCAACAAAATTGCGCGCCACTTGCCTGGCACAGAAGCCACCCGGCCGCGCCTGCCCGGCATTGAAGCCGCGCCAAGCCGCTGAACCTCCACTCTCCCCCGCGTCCTTGCTATATGTGCTATATGTGCTATATCTTACACGCCAAGCCGCTGAACCTCCACTCTCCCCCGCGTCCTTGCTATATGTGCTATATGTGCTATATCTTACACGCCAAGCCGCTGAACCCCCACTCTCTCCCAGCTCCTTGCTATATGTACTATATGTGCTATATGTTCTGTACGCGCGAAATCTGTGGTATATGTGCTATATAGGGGCCATATAGCACATATAGTACATATAGCATGGAACCCGGGGAGAGTGGATGTTCAGTGGCTTGCCTTGTGAGATATAGCACATATAGTACATATAGCATGGAACCCGGGGAGAGTGGAGGTTCAGTGGCTTGCCTTGTGAGATATAGCACATATAGCACATATAGCAAGGAACCCGGGGAGAGTGGAGGTTCAGCGGGTTGGCGCTCCGTACGCGCCGCATTTTGCATGGTTTTTGCATGGTTTTTGCATGGTTTTTGCATGGTTTTTGCATGTGGAACAGCTTGTTTTTTGCATGGTTTTGGCATGACATGATTTTGCATGACATGATTTTGCATGACATGATTTTGCATGACATGATTTTGCATGGCATGATTTTGCATGGTTTTTGCACGGTTTTTCGCACGGTGTTGCATGTTGCACGTCTTTTCGCATGACATGTGCATGTGGCTCAACCCCGTGCCCCTCCCCCCTGTTTTTTTCCTGTCAGGCTGCCGTACGTAGGTTCATCCTGGAGCTGGAGAACTCCGAGGCAGGGCGGTGCCGAGCGGGCACCTAGGCAGTGCCGAGCGGGCACTAGTAACTAAATGTGCCGAGCAGGCACAGTGCCGAGCAGGCACAGTGCCGAGCGGGCACTAGTAACTAAATGTGCCGAGCAGGCACTAGACGTGCCGAGCTGGCACAGTGCCGAGCGGGCACTAAACGTGCCGAGCGGGCACTTGTAGGTAGGCACCGAACGTGCCGAGCAGGCACAGTGCCGAGCTGGCACAGTGCCGAGCTGGCACAGTGCCGAGCTGGCACAGTGCCGAGCTGGCACAGTGCCGAGCTGGCACTAGACGTGCCGAGCTGGCACTAGACGTGCCGAGCTGGCACT